CCCCCCCAAAAAATGTTTAAGTTACACATAAAAAAGAATTAAAAAAAATAAAAAAATGTTTAAAGTCATGCGTCGGGGGCGCATACGTGCAAAAAAGACGATTGCGCCCATTACGCCGCACATGTTACATATCGCCGCGAACGTCGGAGTGAGAGCAATAAGTCTAGGGCCATCAATCACTGATAAGACTAAACTGATGAGCGGTAAAAGCTTTTAAAGCGTCGCCTATGGCCAATTTTGGGTATGGTAGTTTTCTGCATGTCGCAGGTGCGCGCAAATTTAAAGCTTGACATGTTTGGTGTCTATTTAACCGACGTGACCCCGACTTTTATATTTTACCAAAAAACTGGGTAATAATAAGTGTTTCCTAACATAATGTAAAAAAAACCTTATTTTTTTCAAAATTTTCAGTAATTTTTCCTAATTATAGTAAAAAATAAAACCCTTAGTGGTGATTAAATACCACCAAAATAAAGCTCTATCTGTCCCCAAAAAATGGTATAAAATTCATTTCAGTACAGCATGACGGAATAAACGTCAGTCAAAGTATCGCAGCGCTGAATACTGAAAAATGGCCTGGCCAGGAAAGGGGGTCTAAACACCTGGTTTTGAAGTGGTTAAGCATATTTAATGCAAGCAGCAAATTATTTTAAGTTATGCTATGTGACTATAGCTGGGTACACATTGCACAGCGTGACTGGAGGAATCTGTTCTACTTTTTTTTTTTTGTTCAGCCCACAGGTTGAACATAAAAAATATACCTGTGTATACTTATGTTGTTCCATAAAGCCAGTGAGGTGGTGTGTACAAGGATAGAGAACTTCTTTATTCAACCCCAAATACTATGTAACTATGTAACAGTGTCCCATCAAACATCATGATAGATAGATAGATAGATAGATAGATAGATAGATAGATAGATAGATAGATAGATAGATAGATAGAGACAGACAGATAGATTCTATAAGTTGGACTCGATGGACTTGTGTCTTTTTTCAACCTGACTATATAGATAGCTATATAGATAACTATAACATCATGATAGATAGATAGATAGATAGATAGATAGATAGATAGATAGATAGATAGATAGATAGATAGATAGATAGATAGATAGACTGTAAAGTGTATGTACCTGGATATGGCATATCCATTCACTTGAAGAAATTTGAAAAGTTCCTGGGCTTTTTCACGGTCCCTTGCCTTTTCTTTTGCTGTTAAGGTATCATAGGGCACCAACAGTGGGTGGCTCCCTGCACCTGCAGGAAACAAAATTGTTCAGTTGCTGATCAGGATGTCAAAGTATGGTGATTTTTGTTCCTATACACAGAATAGAAGTCATTGGGGGGAAAAAGTAGTTATTGTCAGGATCTGTATCTGAACCCAGGGTTACCAGTGTGTCTGACAGTGGTTCTTCCTACTGAGCCACCTGAAGCTCTGGACAGCTCCTTGCCTGATCTCTTGAATAATCTTGATTGATACCCAGTTTTGTGCTAAACTCTGAACTCCTCGCTACGCCCCTAGACTTCCTATTTAAGCCAAGTATTTTGCTTTTTGTTGCTATTGTTACACATGTGTACTGCCCTTGGCTCTCCATTGGCTTCTACAACTACTACAGCCTGTTAATAACCAAACACTTGCGCGCTATTGAGCTATTGAGCTCCAAGCCTGATCACAGGCAGTGTCAATCAGTATAAAAAATATATTAAAATTTGAACTGTAGCCTAAAAACAAAAACATCAAGCAGAAATGTTGTTAATACTATGGAGTTTTATTTACTGGAAATGTATGCTGCCACAAGCAGTCTGTTATTGTTCGCCATGTATTTGTGTCTTAGTACATCCCTACATTTTACCCCTACTGTTTTGTGTATATTGATACAGCCCCTAGTTAGACTCTCCCTGCCTCTCCTTTAGATTTTTTTTATCCTCTTCCACACTGTGTTAAGAGGGGTCTACACATGGGTTACAAGGTTTTAGAAAGGAATGTCTTTCTACCAAGGAATCACATACTCGGTGTTGTCAAGTCTGAATAATCTACATTGGATTCTACTCTGAGTCTGCTTGGTGAGTTGGACCCTGCTTGCGGATACCATCAGCTCAGAAGGTCGTCATACTGTCCGTACAGACTGAACCTTGGGATGTATGTGCAAATACATAAATCAGTGGTTGAGACAGAACACAATTAGTGAATGTGTACTTAGTGAATGTGGTGAAAACAAATTTTGCAAAGAATATCCAATTATGTACAAAGAAAATTAAAAAAAAAGGTATTTTTGCTTGCACATGATTGGATAATGAAAGTCAGCAGAGCTTCCCCAGATTCACTAAGCTAAGGGAAATACTTTGCAAAGTAAACAGCCTATTGGCCTTTAGTAAATCAACCCCTATGTCTCTGCTGCAATAAAGGCTTCTTACTTTGCTCCTCTCAATCTTATTTACACTGTACACAGAGCTGCACATGCACAGCTCAGTGCTGAAAAATTCAGGCATCTGCCAGGTTGTGGGATGAATTAACTTCAATAAGTAAGCATTGGCCCATCAAGACGACAAACCAACAACTCTGCACCTGGAAGTGTAAGACCAGGAGGCCCCAGAGGAGAAGATGTCGGCCCTGGGAAGGGAGCTTTCGGATGTCACAGTGCTGAAGCTGTGTGGTATATTTGCGGACTTTAGTTTTGCTTTAAACAAAGATTCTGAGCTTATGTGAAAAGCTGTCTAGGTGGACAGTAAGGTTAATTGAACCAAATTATTTATTTAATTTTGCAAAAACTTAAGTTAAGTTTTTAACTGATGGAGCTGGTAAATGAAGCAAACAACCTAATAATGTATTTCTCCATTACGATCCTAAAAAGATTTGAATGCAAATTTGGTCAAGTGTAACTAAAAACAGCTTTTATGTGGCCACACTATTTCTAAGCATAAATTTGGGAATGGGTCTCAAGTAACAAGTGTGATATTAGGTCTGTTAACTAGGCATAGTAGATATGGTGTCATATGTGGTGAATGTAAACCCCAATAATAAAGGCTTATTTGATATCTTTTATTCTGTTAAATATACAATTTTTTGTATTTTGTTATATCTGTTCAATAAGTGCTCAAAATACCTGTTTATTATGTCAGAAATTCAGAGCTGTCCTGTGTACACCTCCTGTGTTATCTCAAATAGTCCAATTAGTCCTCTTAGTTCTTTTTTCGGACTACAAAATAATTATTGTATATTTTGTAATTATAAGATTGGAGTATTTAAGTAGTTTAGCATAGACAACTGGGCAGGGGTTTCATTACTCTGTACACAAAAATGTTGTCTGTCCACAACAGGATTTAGGAACCAAGTTTTGTTTTCTTATTTGCAGGTCTTTAAAGGTATAAAACATATGCATATATTGCAAAGAGGTACTGCATATGTTTATTTTATGTTGCCTTGAAATATATTTTAATATTGAGAAGCAACCTTTTTATCATATTCCAACAAAAAAGTCCTGACCAGGACAACACCTTTCACTCCTGGAAGTGATGCCACAGACTTGGGACACATGCAAAAGGTATAGAGATATTTTTTTATGTATTATTTATTTCACCTTTAGTCTCCAACTCCGTCTTCTTCTTTTTTGCCCATATATTGTGGTAGTTTTCTGCCATTACTTCCACCATTCCCTGTACAAAGTCACAATTAAGTAGAACTTGAAATTTTTACAGAAATGTCTTTTAAATCTCCTAAAACACTGTTCTTTTTCCGAATATGGACTACATATACACACTTTAAACAATGTACATGGATCTCTGACTAAAAAAAACATATATCACAAAATGTGTTGAACTGGAATGCTTGGGCACCCTCTAAAATGAGTTAGCAGCATTGTTGTAAAGACAAGTTAGGGCCAAAATTTTCATATCAAATGTAAATGCGTGGGAATTTCTAGGACTGTTTTTTTTTTGCAGACATTGTTGGTTTCCTTCCATTTATTTAATGTCCTTTATGTTATTCCAGCAAAGGATTACCACTCAATTGTGATATGAAGCAATTCTTTATTATTCCATATTAAAATTTCTTTTTATCCATAGAAATACATGGTTATCCATAGAAATACATTTTACATGTCTGCTTGTAAATTTACAAATAATGTGTTTTTAAAGTGGACCTAAATTTAAACAGTGAAAATTGTATATGTTACAATGAACATTTACAGGGTTATTTACAAGAGGGTGGAGAGTTTGGAGAAGGCTGGAGAAGTGAACAATCTAGGACAACATAGCTGGACTGGAAATTGAGCTGAATTTAAGAATTTTTCAAAATCAGCCATTTTGGTCTAGATTTTTTACTTTGTCTGCCTTCTCCAAACTCTTCACCTTTTTGTGAATAACCTTGTTAAAAATGTTCATTTTAACTATGTAGTAGCCTTAAAAAAAATAATAAAAATAATAATACCTCTTGAAATAACAGTGTGATACCTGGTATGTGAGGGTACCCGGGCACTTGCAGCCTTATAGCTGTATATCCACAGTAGGAAATCCAAGACACTGCTTCCTCTGACTGCCAGTCTCAGGATATTTGGATTGAGATTGGGTGATGTCAACTGTGCTGTTCTATGACCATGCAAAACCTTTTCTCTACCAGGATGGCACTTCCGCACAAAGATGCAGTGCCTTTTGTGGCACACCTCCTACAGTTCAGTTTCTCATTATTACCTAGTAATCTAGAAATGTAACCAGCTGGCTATTTTCATAATGCAAATAAAGTGTTTTCATTTCTCATTTATAAAAAAAAAGACAAATAACATGAGACATGTCAGCCAATCCAAACAACAAACAAATCCTTTTCGCTTCTCCCCCCAAGAAATAATGATTGGATCACCTTATTAGGGCATAAACAGAGTTTCCATTTGCTTTGCTACATAAATAAAAGTTCCTCACAAAAAGTCAAATAAAACATTATTAGCCTCAAGAATGGTCTACAGTGATGACGTTTGACCCATGTAAGAAACATTCCTATAAATGGATAATTTGGTAATCCTAGATGTATTTATATAATTGTTCTCCAGGACAATTTATTGTGAACTTTGAGAGAAGAAAATGTATACCTGGAGCTCTCGGGAGAGGACAACATTACTCAGATCAATTGAAGCAGGAGTGTAGCCATTTCCCTGAAAAACCAAGCACAGGTAAAGTACATAATATATCATTATATCTACATTGCATTCCTTAAACTTCACTTCCCCAGTCTCTGTGTATAGCTCCTCTAACTCTGAGAATACTTAGGTCAACAGCTTCTATGAATATATTAAAAAGGTGCTCATGAACTGGATGCTTGTTGTCTGAGACCTGCAATGTTAGATGACTTAAACAACAAATGGGTCAGCTATGGGGCAAACTAGACTGATAAAACCTAATGTAGGCCATCACTACACAGTTGTATAGCAGATAAGGTTGAAAAAAGACATAGGGCGTTATTCACTAAGGAGCCAAAGCATTAAGCTGAGCGTTCGGCTAATCCTTCGGCTTGCTTCGGCTGCGGTTTAGCCCGTACAGCAGCCAAAGCACTCAGCCGAGCCGAAGCATATGTGTTTGGCTCGGCTGAGCTGAAGACACACCAGAAGTGGGATGAACGGTCTGCCGAAGCAGACCAGTCTCCCCGTATGTTGTGAAAAAATTGAATTGAAAAAAATGGCGCGGGGTTCCCCTCCTAAACCATACAAGTCCCTTTAGGTCTGGTAGAAATGTTAGGAGGGACGCCACCCAATGCCAAAAATAAAAGTGGGGTCCCCCTAAAATTCCCAACGAGGCCCTTAATCCCAGCCTCTTCCCCACACCCAGATGCCCCCCCCCCCTTCCTTGGGAATGAGTAAGAGATAGATGTACCCCTTACTCATTCACTAAAGAGTTTAAAATAAAATCAAATAAGCAGACCAGACTTTTGAAAAAAAATCCTTTGATTGAGCACAATACACAAAAACAGTTTTATTCACTCTGCTGTTCGGCCCCTACGAGAATAGGGGTGAACAGCAGCGAGTGAACTGTCGAACGTTTGCCTCAGCAGATCCAGATGTTGGATAGGCAGCTTAGTAAAGAACACCCATCGATTCATTCACGCTAACCTATGTGTATGTGTCCTCAGGGACATAAGATTAACAGCCACCATCGATTAATTAGTAGATAGTGATCATGTCTTCTCCTTAGCACCTCCTCTTGAAGGGAAATAAGTTTAATTTACTTAATTGTTCATTATAGCTGAGGTCCTCCAGGCCCCTTATTATTTTTTATGACCTTCACTAGACTCTTTCCAATTCTAAGACAATACCTCTGTTGATTGGTGACCAAAACTGGACTGCTTATTAGGTGAGGCTGAACTAGTGTTTTGTAAAGGGATGATAGTATGGATTTATCCATGGAATAAATACCCGTTTTAATGCAAAATAGTATTCTGCTTGCTTTGTTAGCAACCTGGTATTGCTTGCTATTGTTCATGGTCCACTAGGACCCTCAAATATTTTTCAATCACTGAAACTGTAACCCCTCTGAAAGAGTATCTTGCCTGCAAATTTTTAGCACTCAAATGCATAACTTTGTATTTTCCAACATTGAACCTCATCTGCTAAATCAATCAACCCATCACCTATTTTAGCCAGGTCTCCCTGTAATGTTGCTACATTCTGTGCCAAAGTTATTTCTTTGCATAATTTTGTATCATCAGCAAATACAGAATTGAACTTTTGATTCCAAGCATATTTTATAAGTTCATATAGTTTATATGCACATGTCTAATAAACAGTATTGGCCCCTAGATTGAACCCTAGGGCACACCACTCCCAACCTTAGCCCATTCAGAGGCTGAATAATCTACCACTATCTTTTGTAGCTGCTCCTGAAGCCATCTTTCTATCGTACACAAAACTCATAGTCCACTCCAAAAAAACGTTAGTTTTGTAAAGTAAGCTTTTGTAGGGTACAGTGTCAAATGCAGTGTTAAAAAACTCCAAAACGTTTCTTCTAAATTTGGAAACGTTTGGCCTATCACCTGTTGTTGTGCCATTTTACCAGATGGATCCAGAGAAGTCTGGATGTTAGATTTATTTAGGACAATAGAGTGCACAGGTATACAAGATATGATGGGCTGAAACTTCATCTATAATTAAATTAGGCCAAATACTTTGGAAGACAATTGCATGTATAGGCCTGATAACAATGAAACACTGGAAAACACCTTTCTGGCTTTTGCAAGCTTACATGCACACTGGAGTTGCATGAACATTGTATGTTTATGATATGGAGGTGGCAGTAAGAACAGCTTGTCGCAGGGGAACAGCAGTAATTGAGTAAGTAATTGGCTGGGTTGGGGGGAAGTTTGTTGTCTCTCTTCGCCAAAAACTGCCTTATGCCCACTCCATTAACATAAACATATATTAAGGAAAGCCATACATACATGTTTATTGCACAGCCTCTAGGTGGTCAGTTTATACCTTCATTATTGGTCACCCTATTATGAATACAGTCATAATTAAGGGATGCTTAGAACAAAACACAGACAGGTGCTCTGTAACCATTTACTTCTAAAAAAACATAAAGTACAACAAAAAAGGAAACTATCATATGCGTAAGATGAGCTCAGCCAAATCTACTAACAGACTAGGCTATACACCAGGATGGGTAGATTAATTAATCCAGATGTTCAGTGCTCAAATTTCTGATTTGTGGATTGACAGCTTGCACAAAGCTTGATTATCCACCAATAAGAAGATGCACATACTGGGTGTGTTTCTAAAAGTTCAGATTCCTTTTTGTAGAGGTATGTTAAAAGATCAGTTTATTTACAACTGATATTTTAATTTTTGGAAGATGATTTACAGTTAAAACAACTAGCAGTGTTGTATATCTCTCCAGTGATGAGATCATCCTTGAGCTTCCAGATATGACCACATGGAAAAGTTCTATTAAGGGGACCCAATATTATGGTTATTTGGGAATCCCCCAAAACATGCAGGAACACCAACTCTGCAAGATGTGCAGAAACAGACCAGGGAATTATGTCAAAGGCATTTTGCCACTGTGGTTCCAAATAGTTATAAGAAGCCAGTGGGTGACTCAGTCCATCTGTCTCTACCGATAACCGAAATATAACTTTTGAGGGAGCTGACCCTTTAAGGCTAAGAAAGGCATGATCTAGTTTTCTATGTTTAAGGTAAAAATGCCAAGTAAATTGTTCAATTTATGCATAAAAATAATGTTGATCTATTACCTGGCTAGTCTGGGATATACTGCGCATCTTTTCATTTTCCCGGTGCAGTGCCAGGGCTTCTCCTTCTTTAGTTCTTTCCACACTCCATCCAATTGCTAGCATGGTTTTCACAGATTCCCTTACAGGCCAACGATATATTTCTTTCTCCTGGAAAAGGACATAAATAATTTGTCACCAAGATACTGGAACAGTCAGATTGTACTCCTTGATACATGAATCTATAAATATTTACCACATGCTACCAATATGTTTTTAGGGTCAAAACCATAGAAAGTCATGGTGTTCTTGCTGAAGTGAAAGCATCAACGTGGATAACCTGCACAAGTTATGGTTTCCATTTAAATACACATAGCATCGGAAATGTAACCAACACAGACAGATAAAAGGCAAACTAGAGTTCACATACCCATGAACATATACAATTAGTAAAAATAGTAAATAAAAATACAAAGCCTCAGTTTCCCTATTATATCCCCAAAATGTTAAAAATGTAAGCTAGAGTAATTCAGCTTTCAGAAAATATATGTGGTATTGTGCGGCAATCCCACTGTAAAATTTGGTGTTATGATCACCCAGGACTCTCAGCCAGAGGGGTTGAGAGGTGTCAGAAAGCAAGGGTTTTTTTAGGGAAAGGCTTTTCAGTTCTTTCTGGATTCTGCTTGGGATCCTGCAAGCGGGAGATTTCAACGTGATTCAGGAGGGAAGAAAGCTCCAGTCCTGGGTCAAAGGTTTAGCAGTGACCAGCACCCAATGATTGTACAGGCGTGCACAACCCTTAAGGAGAGGGTGCTGGCTAGGAGAATTAGTTCCTGCTGGGAAATAGGAACAGACAGTGTTCAAGAGTCAGGACGACTCACCCAGAAGTCAGAGAGGAGACAGGTGAGCTCCTGGTGTGAAATAGGAACAGAAAGTGTCAAAATGGAGTCTGGTGCTGTGTGTGCTGGAGGCACACAAAGACAGCCAGGGAGATTGGGAGAACTGGTGAGGCTGGTAGAGCTGAGAGCCTGAGGGGGCACCAGTACAAATGCAGGACAGCACTACAGAGAGGACTGGTGGGTAAGAATAATTTATGTTGTTTTGCAAGCAGTGCATAGCTGTTGTACTGAGCAACCCCTGCGAGGGTATAAGATGTGGATGTGTGGACTATCATTTAAATAAAAGTGGGCTACTAGGCCCTTACAAATAAGATATTGCGAGTGGACTGCTTCCTTATAGCACTCACCATATCTGTTAATATCTCCAAAGATCACATATAGTACAGGCGTAAGAGGCATTTGAGATATCTAGCTAGCAGCTAATGTTTGATGTATACCATATGCAATAGACTGTTTACAATCTAAATGTAAGTCACATAGCAGACAATACTCCAAGTTTACAAAAATGGATTGTGCATTTTTCAGTTGTTGCATAAGTCAGTTTTATTAATACTTTAAGAACAAACTGGCAGGTTGTGCAAAGATAAAACAGGGTCTGGGATGTGTTTGAATCCCTTGCTTGCATACAGTGTGTATTCTTGCATTTTATTCAGTGAACTATGCCCTGTCCACATCAGCATAAGCCTTCTGTTCCAAAGCTTTTTCTTTCAGAGTTTCCTGATTTACTCCTCCAAAGCTAATCTAATGCACTCCACAATATGTTTTTGGTTCAGACATTCCCCCATCAATCTTTGAATAACTAGAACTATTCCTATCTTGTTGCCTTGCCTGACCAGAGCAACAAACACATAGTAAGAAAGACTGCAGTAAATACTTTGCTATTTTGTTATGCAGATCAGAGCAGTTCTGGTGATGCGTGCAGGTCCTTTTTAGGAAACAGTCTCCCTCTCTGTGGATGACACTCTTCTCTACTTGCGGGATATCAATACCTTCCTCTCTGCAGCCCTTCAAATTATATAATTTTGGTTCTTTTTATGGGGTTAGGATTAACTGGGATAAATCCCTTCTATTTCTGTTTGGTCCACCCCACCCCCCTCCCCCTTACTTTGGGTCTTGGGATTTAAAAATCTGGGGGTGGTGGTTAGGATGAACCTCTCTCAATGCTTTAATGACAACTTAGGTCCCCTACTTGTTTCCTAATGTCTAAATGTGCTGCCGAGAGATCATATCCACTGATACTTGTGGGACAGATTAATCTTATTAAGGTGCTTTTCCTTCCAAAATTTCTGTACTTCTTTAGACATACTCCCATAGCTATGCACAATTCCTTCTTCACTCATGGAGTACTCACCTCCTTTGTTTGGGCAGGACAACACCTGAGGGTGTCTAGGGTAGTGTTATGACTACCTCTGTCGGAGGGTGGATTGGCCCTGGTGTGTTGGTCACAGTCTGTTGGTGGTTCCCACAGTCCCTGGATAACTCGGCAGTAACTTTGGAGGAAGCTCTTCTGGGATCCTATGCAGAGCTTAGTAATCTGGTGTTTAGGGGGCCTAATTCAAATCCAGCTGTCAATAAGCCCATGCGTATAATGCATAGGGTGTGGACCCAGGTAAGGGGACCACACCCTCTGCATTGGTCCAACGTGCTTCTATCTCCCCTTACACCGCTTTATGGGAAAATCCTATGCTGCATCATCTTCGCACTATCCTGATCCCCAGTTGAGGGCACGGTATGGCATTCGGAGTATAGAACATAATATGCCAGAAGGAGTGTTGCACCACTTTAATAGACTTAAGTCTTTGTATTCATTTTAAAAATCAATATTTTGGGTTCCTCCAGCTATGACATGCTCTTCAGACCAACTGGGATGGCACAGGGCACCACACTTGGAGATCTTGTAGGGGGGGGGGAGAGAGTCTCCCCTTGGTTGAAATACTAGTGATCTATACAGAGACTCTTAATATTTAAAACTTTCTTGTTGGATTTGTCTTATTCTTGATGCTGACATGCAGCTGGTCATTTCCCTGCTTTGCTTCTCCTTCCCTTGCCCCCCTTCCCCATCACCTTCTTACCTTTCCCCTTTTTTACCTTTGTGCCCGGACTGGGTCAATTTATGGTAGTGTAATGAATGCCACGTGGGGGTATATACCCACTCTCTCAGAGTGTTATGCGGTGTGTTCCCTTTTATACTATTCATTTACTCGTGGACATGGATTGTGTTTATTTTGTCATTTACTGTTCTGGTTGGGGTTTTTTTTCTGTATTTCCTTTTTGTTTGTTCCTTTTTTAATTACAAAATAAAACTCACCTGGTAAAGAAATAGTCATAACTTTTAAAATTATTAGTCAAAGGCAGTAGACAAGGCTTTGAGAAAGGAACTCTTTGACAGTATGTATGTACAGTATGTATGTAGGCATGTATGTATGTAAACCCTTTCAATAAATGTATCTTATTTTCTCCTCCTTGGTCTGTTAAAGTGTACAGGGATCCCAACCTGAAAAAAGCAATTTCAGGGAGGTGACCTCTGCCCCCCCCCCCATCTGTGGGGGGATGGAGGGGGGGGGGGGTTGAGCACCCCACTGAAATGATGGCAGATAGCACAGGAACCAATATCTTCTTTGCTATCTGCAGGGTTTTTTTTAGTATTCTGACAGCTGCTGCCGGCAAAATAAAAAAAACCAGCATAGGAATGAATAGCTAGATTGCTATTGGTTATTTCAATTTGCAATATCCAATAGCAAGCTGGCTATTAGACCCGTTCTCTGCTGCTGTCAATCACTAGAAGAGGACCTAATGGAGGACTTCAGGTCCCCCTCTGCTGATTGACATCAGCAGTGGGCGGGTGAAATAGCTAGTTTGCTATTCGCTATTGCAAAGTGAAATAGCCAATAGGAATCTAGCTATGCATTCCTATGCTGGGTTTTTTTTTTTTGACTGACGGCGGCCCCGATGTTAAAAAAAAAAAACAGAGCAGGGAAAGGTTTACTCTGCCAGATCGAGCAGAGTAAACCTTTCAGGGAGAAAGTGTTTCTCTCCCTGGCAGCCGGGAGCTGCTATCTAATAGCGGGAGAGTCCCAGAGCGTCCGGGAGAGTTGGGATGTCTGAGTGTATCTATAGCCATTTTTTATTTTTTTTAGTTTGAGATAAAGATTAGGAAATTTAGAGTAGGGAAGTATTAGAACCAGGTTTTACTGCTCTTCAGGGCTCTGTTAGAAAGATTTCCTGTTACTCACTGTCTTTTCACCAGACAGGAAGTGAAGTAAACTCAATGATAGTAACACAGACAGAAGTAAAAATGCAGTAAAACCTGACAGAGTCTCTAATCCTTCTTCACTCTATCTTAAAAAAAAAAACAACAAAACAAAAAAAACCTTTGGCTATGATACATGTTAAATATACAATTGAAAATGTTTTGCTATATTTGTTCAATAAGTGCAGAATAATAACTGTTGATCATGCTAGAAATTCAGAGTCATCATGCATCCTGCTGTAACGATCGCAGCTGCGCTCCACCGTGGAACGCAAGCTGCGAGGCGGAAGTGAATTCGCCGATGCGCCCCCATGACATGGGTAGCTCCTCCCACACTCCTTCCCATAAAGGGCCGGAAGAGAGATCAGTATGGCGTTCCACTATTGCAAGTGAACGCCAGCTGACAACTGGAGATCCCTGTGACTGGACCATAGGACCTGTGGGTGAGAGGATCCCTCATCTACAAGGACATCTAAACAGCAAGTATCAACTAGTCTGTGACAGCCTGTCTAAGCTAGTGCTTACTGAAGTATTTGAACTTTCTATCTTGCAATTGCTGTATGGACTTCCTCATTAGAACCTGAACCACAACATTTAAAGGGAAAGCGCTATTACATCTCTTGCTTAGTAATCCTTACTGGAAGCTACTTATTGTATGAACTTGCCTAACCATACATAGCAGTCGCAACCTCGGTATGCAGTAATACCCTGGGGCAACTCGTGTGCAACCCCAATTCCCATTTAATTGCGGTATATGATGGTAGAGCTCCAAACTCTCCGCTAAAGATTTGAGAGTGACGCCTAGAGCTCGACCCTGAAGCCGTACCCTAAGAAAATATAACCTGTATTGGTAACCTCCGCAGCTGAGATTCATATCACCTGACCTAGGCATTACACCTGTGCACATTCCCAGGGTTATCTCAAGAAGTATAATTAGGCCACTCAGTTTGCATCTTTGACTACAGAATAATTAGTCTCTACATTGTGAAGATAATGAGAGGTGGAGTTAATCAGTAGTTTAG